TAAGTTGATATGAAGTAAATATGTTTAGTGGGCACCTATTAAAATCGTTCATGTGAATAATGGTAACTTATGAGGAACGGTAGGGTGACAATTGCAGTTCTCAAAAAATACATTAATGTTACTTTTATCATGGAAATCCTGGAGCAGCTGCTCTCTAATTTTGTGTGATGGGATTACCTAAGGATCTTCTTCACGCTTGTTGGTGAAGGTGAAGGTGAAGGTGCCCCCACCTTCAACAGCGTGAGGAGAGGCATCAATTGTATTTTAGCTGTTGTTGTTGTTTAGAAGAGAAGATACAGCAAATGATCCGTGGCCGCATGGCGACGTGAATGAAGAGAGGCAGAGCTTGGCGTGTAATGAAGTAATAATCGCATTGGTGGGACTGTTTTGATTAAAAATGGCCACGCCTGAGGTTTTCCGATTATGCGCTGCTATTCCACATGGGGCTTCTGTCGGCCAATTCCCCACCCATTTCTTGGTCAAATTCAACAGTCATTTGCTTCGTTTGCTGCAACCCCGTGGTATCATGATGGGACCATTCTATTTTGCAGATAGACTCTTGACCTTCATCCCAATCACTCCACGCGCAACCGCCATTTCGACGGGGTCGCACTGTCGCGGCACACAGGCTACAAACAAATCACCTCCACGGGCAATCGTTGGTTGGATCTCGATTCGCTAAGGCCTTGATTATTCGAGTTTGATTTTAAAATAATTGAAGTTTGAATTAAAGTATTGAGTCGAATTCAAACCTTTGCATATTAAAACTTATTAGAAAAAAATAATTTTTAATGCTGTTAGAATTTTATGGTGCAGTTTTTATTGATTATAGCATAGTATTGTGTGTTTTTCAAATATGTTACATCTATGTACGCTCAACGTAATTTTTATCACTAGTGAAGATGAAATGAAAGTATGATGTTTCATCAAAAAGAAAAATAAATTTGATAAGGCTCCAAGATACAAAAAATTAAATAATATTTCGAGCTTTTGAGTCGAATTAGAATCTATCAAAATGCTAAATCAAATCAAACTCGAGTTTAAATTTTAGTTTCTTACAACGTCAAGCTTGAATTTGAACTTCAAATTATAAATCAATCTAGTCTGACAGACTGAATTTTTTATCAAATTCGATTCATTTGCAACCTAGAACTACAGGTGGAGAGTTTTCTGCTTTTCTTAACCATGGTGGCACAGGGCGCACAGAAGAAAGATCCCAGTTAAAGATGAAATACGGACTCTAATTTATCATGATAGCTTATTATTAATTTTCTCGTTGAAACTGTAGTACCTAAACGTGTGACTAAGGTTCTGTTTGATAAAACTGAATCTGAATTCTGAAGTCTGAATTCTAAAATATGAATATTGAAATAATTAATTTGCTGAATTTTAAGTACTGAAAAGAAATATATGAATGTTTGAATTTTAATGCTAAACTTATTTATACTGTTTGATAAATATTTATAATTGAATGCTTAATAAGTTTAATTTGACAATTTAGCCCTTATATCTTTTCATTCAAAAAATAAATAGAACCTATGATTTAATTAACTTAAAATTATTAGGTATTAAAATGACAATATTTATTTTTAAATCAAATTAATATAAAAGATGAAATATATTATGTGAGGAGTATGGAAAAATGTGAAAGGCATTAAAAAGGAAGAAAATTAAAACTAAAAATCGTTAGATAGAGAATATCAGATTGTTTAATTAGATAAGAATTTTGAACATAGTTAACAAATAATGGTAGATATGGTAAATAAGATAAAGTAGTTGAAGTAATTATATTGATTCTTATCAGAATTAAGCATTCAGTTAGGATTTTTGTGCTGAAAAAAATACACACAAGTTCAACACTGCTTAACAAATTCAGCAGATGGATTTTCATTTATCAAACACTCAAAACATCTGAATGTCTGAAAAGATTTAGTTTCAGCACTTTTGTATGTTATCAAACAGACCCTAAATCGAGTTGAGTCGCATTTCAATAGTACACTATTAGAACTCAACTAGGGTTAACAAACTTGAGTTTTAGTTTATCAAACTTTAGAAAATTGAGTTCAAATTCAAGTTCGATTTTAATTTATTTTATTCGAGCTTGACTCAAATCAAGCCCAATTGATTTCAATCAAGCTTGATCACGCCCAATCAAAGTTTAAATAATATAAAATTGCATTTATACAATTTTAAACAAGAGATAAAATAGACATTTTATAATAATAATTTTAATATATATATATATATATGTATGTGCGCGCACACACATGGACATCTGTGCTCGAACTCAAATTTTGATAAAAAAAATTAAAAATAAAAACCTTGCCAGCTAGTCGATTTAACTTGGCCCATTTACCCCTCATGTCCCTTGTTCGTAAACATCAGATCCACAACAATTCAATCTAGTTCGCCACTTCGCTTGTGTGCTTTCACTAAAGATCTTTGACTATAAATGACACTCAATAGGATTTTAAACGGACCCACACTTGACACTCCTGCCTCTCTACTGAGATAGTGAGAGAGTACAGTACACTTCGAAAAGAAAAAACCCACCGGGAAGCTTTTAAAAGTTAAAACTATGGTCGCAAACGAATCAAATCGCTCGAGCGGTTCGAATCGAAATCAAATTCGAATTCGAGATCAAAATATTAAGTTCGTTAGTTCGTGAGTCGGCACACGAGTTCGAATATATATATATATATATATATATATATATTTTTTATTTGTTTATTTTAAGTATATATATATTTTATTTGTTTATTTTAAGTATATATATATTTTATTTGTTTATTTTAAGTATATATATATATTTTTTATTTGTTTATTTTAAGTATATATATTTTTAAATTTTTTATTTTAATAGTAAAATTATATATATATTTTTAATATTTTATTATTTATTAAGAAAAAATATTATTTTATTTATTTTTTAAAAAAAAAAATCATTATTTTTATTTTTTTCGAGCTCGAGCTCGGCTCGAATCAAGTCAAGCTCGAGTTCGAGTTCAATAAAATAAAATCAAGACTCAGTTCGGTTAGACCAAAACTCGATTCGATTCGACTCGTTTTACAGCCCTAGTTAAAACCGTCCGTTACTCTTTGCAGAGCCCCTGTTGATGTATTTGCTACTGCATTTTCAGTGCGTTCAGGTAACCTGTTTGTAGCAATTGCAATTATTAGAGTATCAGAAAACCAAATGGTACCTTTTTTTTTGGTGCATAGTGTACACTAATTTGATGACAGAGACAAAATAATCTTAGTACATTGCATGCATGTGCATATAAAATCCTTTGCTTAATCTACAAAAAAAAAACATTTGCTTATAATTTTTATTTATTACATGATTTTAAGTTCAAAAAAAGAGTATCAATGATAAAATGAACAGCTCACCCTTGACCATTAAATACTTTTGCACATAATAAGATTGTGGTTTTAAAAGTTATACGTGATCCCTCATAATTTATACTATAGTACCAAAACGACCGAAACCATCCTGTGTAATGGAACCAACAAAATTGTTAAGATCACTCTCGTTTGGAATAATCACTGTAATAGTTTTTATGATATTATGCATGTAAGATAAAAAAAATTATTAGAAAGATAAAAAAAAATTGCTTAAAAATTGTATTTGTGATAGAAGCAAAATAATATTTGAAATAATTTTGCAATCCAAACGCACTTCAAGATATATAAATCTAGAACTGATTACTCATTCGTCCCTAATTTAAAACTTTTCAACATAATTATCTTGAAGTTTTTTGAAATCTATGCATAATCCCCTATGGGTAATAAATAGAGTAATTCAATTTACGCCTTGATCTTGGAATGTTCTTTGACATTTAAGTTGGCTCTATAACAGTGGACAAGTTTTAATCGCCTTGACAATTTAAACTATAAAAAAGGTTAAATGAAAAATTACTAAACTTGGAGTCAAAATTGCAGTTTACCCCAAAAAAGAATTTGTAATATCAAATCCCTTGAACGCATATACCACCAACCTGCAAACAACTAGAACTTACAACAATCTCTCTATTTGTGGTGGATGTCTTATTTATTTTTGCACATCCGTTATTGTAAAAGTCTAGACCGACCGAGCTAGTATGAATTATAGGCCAATCCCTAACATATGCCTACAACCGGTCCTGACCTGCGCCATAAAGCTACTGTACCCTTATTGTCATATACGATCCACACCTCCACCATCAATCAACCTGAAATTAAAGCTCCAAGGTTCCTTTTTTTTGAAAGCTCCAAGGTTCTCATTTCATACATTAATAACTTCCAGACTTTACGCTTTCATCGGTGAGAATCAAAACTATCGAGGTTCGTGCAATCAACACCACACCAACGGTCAAGATCAAACCTTTACAAACTCTCACACCCCTAATATCCTTTACTATCAGCATCCGGTCCCACTGTACTCCTACTCTCCTAGCCCAACTCCCCCTGCATGCTCAGTCTCCCAGACTCTCACTCACCAGTCTTATATATATTCTTCTCCATTTCTCACTCATTTTCACTCTCAGCAACAGAGGGAACAGAGCAGCAGAACCCAGAAAAACGCAGAGCACTAACAAACTGCTAATCATCAATGGAGGAGAGGCCAGAGACAGAGCTAATTTCGATTCCGGCAACCCCACGTGCGTCGACGCCGGAAATACTCACGCCGTCCGGCCAGAGGTCTCCCAGGGGGTTGGCCTCAACTGGGCCGGCATCAAAAGAGGCTAAGTCATGGACCCCGACTTCGTTTATATCTCCGAGGTTCTTGAGCCCCATTGGGACGCCTATGAAGAGGGTGTTGGTTAACATGAAGGGATATTTAGAGGAGGTGGGACACTTGACAAAGCTGAACCCGCAAGATGCTTGGCTTCCCATTACCGAGTCTCGCAATGGGAATGCTCATTATGCTGCTTTTCATAACCTCAATGCTGGTTTTGGGTTCCAAGCTCTGGTCTTGCCTGTTGCATTCTCTTTTCTTGGCTGGTGTGTAGTCCTATCAACTTTGATGCTTGCATAGTTGCTTAAGCTTAACTAATTGGTTTGCTATGTACAAATCAGCAAAGACTATTGGCTAGATTCAATCCTCAGTTAGCTTTGGCTTTGACTGTGTCCTTTGTGCTTTGTAGCTCTTGAATGTTACGTCGAGGGATTTGTGCTTAACTTGTGGTCCTTTTGTCAGTGATAGGAGGTTTTAACTGCTTTTGGAAGCATATATGCAGTGCATTAGGTTAACGAGGGTAAAAGATCTACACTCTGTGTTTAAAGCTGGCTTCCTTTTATCCATTTTTCAACTACTAGTATGCTAGTGTGGAGTAGTGGTCCTTGTAGTGTGCTTTTTCCATCCTGAAATTATAATGAAAATTTGGCATGTCATGAAGCTTCAATTTTTGGAAGAATTAATGGCATAAAAATTCTAGCTTTGAAGTTTGAAGGGTAGAAATAAGCTAGGTACTCTGTCTTTCTGTATTCAAATTATTCTTGGCTTCGTGTTTTGTCACTTTGAAATTTGAATAGTGCCGTAATTCCCTTTTTTCCCTATTGTTAACTTCTTCGACAGATTTCTTTTTCCTTTTATAGCTCATAACTCATTTTTTCCTCTCTCTGGACTGATACTTATTAAGTAGTTTTTCTTTGAAGTTGATTGAATCCGAGTATGTGATGGACTTGTGGGTCTACCAGGTGATCGTATCTTCTTTATCTTTTGATTTCTTTTGTTGCTTTTTCCAAGGTTCATCATTTTCATTTGATTTGAATAGAAGTAAGAAAGATCCTCGAGGCAAGTCATATCCTTCTTTTCTTTTTTCAGCCTTTTACTTTTTCATAGAACGCTGCATAGAATGGTTCCTTTCATGATTCTGTATTTTGCCTTTTGAGGATGAAGACAGTTGGCTCTGCTTTATGCTTGATTGGTATAATTGGCATGGCAGAGCTTTATCTCGCAATTCAATCCCTTTTGATGCTAAATTATTACATGATGTTCTCTACACCAGAATGGTTTTTTTCCCCTCCCCAGCACTACAGCGTCAATACTTTTATACTGATTCCAATTAATCATCAGTTAAGCTTTCACTAATCTGGATATCTGCCTTAGACTTTTATCTTTGTACTTTAGTGATCCATGTGCTGATTATGTTGTAGATTTTCTCTCTAATTTAAGAAAGTCATTTCGCATAAATTCCAAAATTATGTCAGGCCAATTCTGTAAGCTTTTTTAGTTAGTTATCTAGTTCATAGTTCTTGCAACAATATGCAGGAGTTGGGGCATAATTTCCTTGACGATAGCTTACTTCTGGCAACTTTACACTTTGTGGATTCTCGTTCAGTTACATGAAGCAGTTCCTGGGAAGAGATACAACAGATATGTAGAACTTGCACAAGCAGCATTTGGTGAGATAGCTTCTGAAACATAATTTAAAAGGACAGTAGCAAACAATTCATTTATTTCTTTCTCCTATAGATTATTAATAATGCAATTGTCCTCAAGAAATGCTAGTTCTTATTACCTCTTGCACATTCGAAGATACAGGGACAGCTGCAAGTCCTGATTCACTAAACCTTCTCACAATATAGAATTTTGTCACAGATTCCTACACGGGGAGATAAATTAATAGAAAATATTACAGTTAAACACAGTGGTCCTACTGATAACGAGAGATTCTTGCATTATCATTTCCTTTGCATGAAACTGATTTTGCGTTTACTACTTGAATTCTCAGGGGATAGATTAGGTGTATGGCTCGCGCTTTTCCCTACGGTGTATCTGTCAGCAGGAACAGCGACAGCTTTGATTCTCATTGGAGGGGAGACCATGAAACTGTTCTTTCAAATTGTATGCGGCCCCCTGTGTTCTTCAAATCCTCTGACAACTGTTGAGTGGTATCTGGTGTTCACATCCTTGTGCATCGTGTTATCCCAGCTCCCAAACCTTAACTCAATTGCTGGACTCTCATTGGTAGGAGCAGTTACTGCCATAATCTACTCCACCATGGCTTGGATACTCTCTGTAAGCCAACAGAGACCACCCTTGATCTCTTACCAGCCCATCTCATTGCCTTCACCTTCCGCTACACTCTCTTCTTTCCTAAATGCACTTGGTATCATTGCATTTGCATTTAGAGGCCACAATTTGGTCCTAGAAATTCAGGTATGCTCTGAGTGGGTTGAAATGTATATCATGTTTAGTGCTGTTAAAGACCATCGTGATGTACATTCTTAAGTCACTGCAATTATCTGCTGTTATAAACGTCAACGGTGTTTTGTAGGCAACAATGCCATCAACCTTCAAGCACCCAGCTCATGTGCCGATGTGGAAGGGAGCCAAGTTTGCCTATTGCTTCATTGCCATGTGCCTGTTCCCCGTCGCTATTGGAGGTTTCTGGGCATATGGAAACCTGGTAAGCATACTGCTTCTCAATCTTCTGTTTTCCACCATTCAATATTCACAGGCTTTCTTCAGGAAAGGGAGATATTTTTTCACATCCTGTGCAACAACGTTGTATGCTTCTTCACTTAAATTTTGGAGTTCTATGCTATGCTTTTCAGATGCCCTCAGGAGGAATTCTCAACGCATTGTATGCATTTCACAGTCATGACATTCCCAGGGGACTCCTGGCAATGACATTTCTTCTTGTCGTGTTCAACTGCCTGAGCAGTTTCCAGATATACTCAATGCCCGCTTTTGACAGTTTTGAAGCAGGCTACACGAGTCGTACAAACCGTCCATGCTCGATTTGGGTTCGCTCAGGTTTCCGAGTCTTCTTCGGATTTGTCTCCTTCTTTATAGGGGTGGCACTGCCTTTCCTGTCCAGCCTTGCTGGTTTGCTCGGAGGGCTCACTCTACCAGTCACATTTGCTTACCCTTGCTTCATGTGGGTTCTCATAAAAAGGCCAACAAAATACAGCTTCAATTGGTACTTTCACTGGACTCTCGGTTGGTTGGGCGTTGCATTCAGCCTCGCCTTCTCTATTGGAGGCATTTGGAGTATTGTCAACAGTGGCCTTAAGCTGAAATTCTTTAAGCCCAACTAGTTAGTATATATATATATGTAGACAAAGCAAGTGTGCCTGCGTCGAAGTCATTTTTCCTTTTTTTTTTGCCCTTTATGTTCCTCCACATGGAAATCAGATCGTTATCCGATTATGGTCTGTCTTATCTAATTATGTGTTGTAATAGGCAAAGTGGCAAAACCAAAAAAGTCGTATAAATCTTTTTACCACTTGATGTTGAGCGTGTCTTTGTTAGCCAAAGTTGGTTCCTCTTGGGAGTAGCGTTTCATGCTTTGGTTGTTTCGAAGCACTAAAGCTAGAGCACATTCAAGGGGATGGCTATCATTGGTAAGATTTTCAAGGGAGCAGATGCCAAAGCAATCCTTCCCATCTTGTCTGCATCTCTGGCCGCGCACCGCCCGTTGAATGAAGTTTCGTTCAAGTTGGTGGGAAATCAAAATTGTGACCACCAACAGCAACACAAACACAAACACAAACACTAGGCTTGCATCATGATTATTTCCCACTCTCGGTGCCACCGATTCAAATTCCAAAGGAATTGATCCGTTGGGCGTCACAACTCGCATCTTGTTCAATCACGCATTTTGTGAATTTGCAGTGTTGACCGATCTGGGCTCCTGCTAAGACCTACAGCGGCTACAGTAAGCGGATCAAACCAAAAACCATACGGATCACCATATGCTTTTGTCCGGATCTAGAGAATTTTAGGGGTGTAAACCAAGTTGAACGCTAACGTATTCTTCTTCGTCTTTTTTTTTTTTCCTTCTACTCAGGAAGATCCTGGCTTCGGTATGCCAGACCCGACTAATTTTTTTGAGACCCGAGAGGAGAGGCCCCATCCCCTCGAACCAGAAATCACTGGGACTCGATCCCTGGTAGGGGAAAATGGACAACAGGATCTTAGGAGGCTTTCCGTGACCAACCAAGCTGTCCAGGAGGGACTGAACGCTCTTGTATTCAATACCTGTTTGATTGTTTTCACATTTTGAAGTTATGTTCGAATTTGAATAGTTTACTTCTCGAATCAAATTCAAACAAACTCTTATCGAGCTCAAGTTGAATTTGAGTAGTTTGAATACTTTAGGTGTAAAATTTCACTTTTATAATAATCGAGTTGAGTTTGAGTCGAACTTGAAAGTTTTAAACACAAAATGCTATTTAACCTTAATTTGATTAGTTAGTTAATCAAATTCGAACAAACTCTTATTAAATTGAATTCAATTCGAGTATTGAGTAGTGAGGCCTGTTAGAGACCCATATCCAATCAAATCTTGTTAGAGAGATGAAGATCTAGAAAATAAAAAAAAAAATTTTTTGGTCATGATCCCAAAACATATTCCCAGCAAAGAAAAGAGATACTGTAGAATTGAATCTTAAAATCATGCCACATAATGCAATATGTACCCGATCGGTATTGATCCGGGCACTCCAACAACTTGAAGAGCAGAGTAATCTTATAAGTAGGACTTCCAGTTGGGCTAAACCTCTGAGCCTAAGCCTAAGGCTTTAATGTCAACTCTCTCGAGCTCAAGTCACACTAAGCTCGGACCATGCTATATTAGTGTTTTTTTTTAATTTATTTACAAGAATTTATAGTAGTAAATCGTACACAATTAAGTGAAAAAACAGTAACCAACAAAACTAAACTTCATCTATTGAATTGAGAATGAATTTCCCTTATAAGCTGGCTCCCATGGAAAAGTTGTCAAAAGAACCACAGAAACCACATCTTGTTAGTTATTTTCACACTAAATTTTTTCCCTTTTCTCTTTGTACAGTAGTTGCGTGACAGAAGTTGTGATTTCATAGACACAATGTAAATGTCTGATATTTAAAAAAAAAATGGAGAGAATATACATTCTTCAAAGGTAGATATATATAAACGTTAGGATAATGCTAGTATTAGGCTAAAAGATTGATTTATATTACAGCATTATCAATGGTTTATTTATTCATTTTTTTTAGCATAAAAAGGGTGGGATAGCAAGAGACGGGGAAAGGTGATTTCATTGAAGGTCTTTAATCCTTAAAATCTCAACTTTTGCTACTTTATTAAGAAAATATGATGGCGACAGTCCGTACTTGCCATAGTAGTGTTATGAACAAATAATCACCACTAGTTTAAGCCTTGCTTGGATTGCTTGTTTTCATCGGAAAATATTGTCATTTTTCGTGATCACATTTTCCTATCATCTTTTTCTCTCACATATATCAAATCGCTACAGTAATTTTTTCATGAAAAATGACGGAAAATGCAATCCAAACACAATCTTAATTTTTATTAACTAGGAAACCGGGGAATCGTCTCCTAAATATTTCATTTTTTTCCTATCAATGTTCTTTTTCAGAACTTCTAAAATTTATTGAACACCCTTAAAAAAATTGACACATAAATAAATAAACGAATCAAGAAAACAACTTAGGTAATTCAAGGGGCAAAAAAGGCAAGCCATTCACAGAAGCTTGGCTTCATTCCTACTCGTGATCGATCCGCCTTCAGAGCGCACTTGAAAATCCGTCTGTTGTTTATTTTTAAACTCACTACTGCTAAAGTGAAATGATTGACATGAGATTTCTTGGATGCCAATTTATCATGGTTTGGTGGGTGGAGAATTTATTAATCTGGGTTGAAACTTGGGATCTGTAGTTTGAATGAAAGGAGTTCAAAATCAGGAAGATTAAATTGATTTTGGGTTATATTGGTGGTTGCTGGATGTTTTGAGATATTTTTATAGTTTGTTTGGATTGAAAGTTATTTGGGATATTTTTACTGTGGTCCTTTTCGTGACGTGATGTATGTGAGATAAAAAGGTAATTGGAAAAATAAAAAAATGTATTAAAAATTATAATGATGATGTAAGCAAATAAAATTGAGAAAATAATGCTCAATCCAAACAAACCCGCGACGGAATTGTAGATGAGTGTGGCTGTCGGCTAGGCCGCAACGGAATTGTTGTAGTTGCAGCGAGCAAATGTTGGTGGATGAAACAGCTTTTGGTTTTTCTGATCCTTTGCATTTATTACGTTCAAAAAAAAAAGGACTATTCAAGTACCATATTTTTAGAATTTTCCTTTCCTTTTGCCCCACCCAGATTTAACATATTTGAAGTCCATTTTCGTCCACAAAATAGTATATTCTGTTTGAATTAGTTATTTTTTGAGGTATTTTTGAAAAATTTTACTGTAACACAGTATATATGAAAAATTTTTACTATAATTTTTTTAAATATTTGATATATTGTATGAATAAGATGTTTTTTGAGTTATTATGTATTATTGTAGTATTGTATTTGAAAAACTTATTTTTGAGAAAATGACCAATCCAAACGGAGGTATGTTGGCTGAACAATACATTGGTGGTATGAATCACCTCGAAAGACATTAATATAAATTCTTTGAAGTCCAAAATATTTGCAATAGGAAAATAAGCCACCTGTCCAACGACTTGGTACTAAATCACTTGATGACGGTCGAAAGTTGAACTCACAAGAGGCTCTTCAAGATCCAAATTTCCGAGACTGGCTAACCAAGCATACAAATTAAGATCCATATTAAAAACGAACAGCAAGAAATCGACATTTTACAATCACCATTTTATCTCAGATATATCAAATTATTACAACAGTAATTTTTTTTAAAAAAAAACTATCCACAAAAAATGCAATCCAAACAAGGATGACTGTACTAATCACCGCTGCTCCGGTGGGGTAAAGCGATGTATTGCCTCTCTCAAGGCTCCGAACTAACGAGTCAGTTGGAAGCCCCTTCGCTTGGCTTTGCTGGGGAGTTTCGGGCCAGGCACAGAGCGCAGAGAATAAAATGGAAAGTCCGAAAAGGACAAACTTGCAGAATCACCGTATCAGAAACCATAGACTATTAAAACACTCCTTTCCCATGTTCCACCAAAATGGGCCCCAAGGTCGGTGGTCTGTCGTCCATGATCCCTTTCACTTAATGGAAGAGGAAGAAAACACGTAGACACATACTACATCAACCTCGACTTCTCCATTTAACTTACAGACTCTTTTTATCCCCCGCTGAGGCTTTCAGGCTTCGGAACCAATTCAGCCATGTATATATGTATAGTCACCCGGACAATACTAGGCTCACTATTCCACATTGCTGCAAACCTATCAGCCTTTTTCATGATCGAGTTCAGTCGTAGTAGACAGTTATTAACAGTATGGCAGCAGATGGCAAGCCTTTACCTATTCCCTCCTCGTTACATGATTTCAGTTTCAAAATGCACACCAGTGAAAGACAAAAGAGGATGCACCTGATTGAATTAATGAACATCTAATACTACTAGCTACCATCATCACACCCGACCCAACCGAAAAGGAGCCTAACTCACACCCATCGCCTGCGGAGGCTGTCAAAGATTCGACCCTATCTAATCTAAGCTAGTCCGGAAGAACAAGTGCAAATGAACAGATACTAAAAAAATGCAACTACAAAAAGTAAAACAACTCAAAATCAGAGAACGAGAAGGCTGGCCCGGAAAATCTTCTACTACTACTACTACTTTGTTTTGTTTCCTTACATGTCGTCCAAAGAATGCAACCCCAATACGTATACAAGAAACCCTTTTGTTAATATATCAAACAAAGCAAAGCCCAAGACAGAAATGTGTGGCTTGCCGAATGCCAAAATGCTGATCATCATCAAATCCATATAGGCAGATCATATACTAATAGTACATATTTAACTACCGGAGTACTAAGTAATCAGTACGTGTATTCCTAGACTACATAAGCTACCGCAAAGGCGCAAACGAAAAGGCCATACCTAAGACACTGAGAGAGAGAGAGGAGAAGAACCGACAAGCCAAGTAACAAAAAGTAAGTCCACTCGATCCTCAAGGCCCAAAAAAAAACAAAATACAACAAAAAGCCTATCTTTTGTCCATTCTCTCGAAAGACTAAAAAAAGTAAGTGGTTTTCTTTTCACTTGAGACCCTTGCCTGGCATTGATATTGCCAGGTCCGGCCAACCAAAGCAATCACCCTCGGCTAAACCGCCTTCAACCCCACTGCCCATCTGCCACGTGTTGTTACACCCTGACGAAGAAGAACCCCCTGCGCCCGAACCATCACTCATCCCATCCCCTCCTCCCACTCCAACTCCAGCTCCGCCCACGCCGCCGCCATTCCCTTGACCCGCTACGACTGACTCCATGGGCCAGTCCATCCCCCCAAGCCCGAATCCCAAACCATGCAGGCCCGGCCCGAGCCCGAGCCCGTATCCGCCTCCGAATGGGAACATGTTGCCCGGCGTGGTGGTCAGCAAAGTACTGAAGCTGGAAGCTTCTGGGACGGCCTCATTCAGGTTCACCTCGCAGCCCATTAAGTGACCCGCCGTGGGGCCTGACCCGGAACCCATTTGGGGAAGCATGGCTACCGGGTTCGCATGCAGGGGCGGCTCATGATGGTGGGCCTGGGCCATACTATCAGAAGAAGACGACGCAGTGGGAGTGGTGGCGGTTGGGCTGTTAGTGCCGGATGCGGTGCGGGGACGTTTGTTGGAAGAGGAGCTAGAGGAGGAGGATGAGGAAGAAGACTTGCGGGAGCCACCGCCGACGGGGACGTTGCGGAGGGTTCCGCCGCGAGTCCAGTAACGGCGGCAAGATTTGCAGAAGTGGCGGGGCTGAGAGAGGTTGTAGTTGTTGTAGTAACAGAACTTGGTGTTGGTGGAGTCGCAGCGGGGGCATGGGAGGTGCTCAGGCTCCGATGGCCTCGTTGCCATGGTTGACAGCCTCGCCGGCCGTGGGTCACCGGTTTCCGAGGACATTTTGAGTTGGCCTTGTCTGGTAGTATGGGTGGAATATTGGTACTTGGATTTAGCAGGTGCTGAGGAGACTTCGGAGGGTGGGGATATTAGGAAAGAGACAAAAAATATTTGTTGGGAGGGTGGGGGGTAAAAGAAAGGGTAGAGGCTGGAGAGTGAGAACTGAAAAAGGGGTTTGTTCTGGAAGAGAGGAATCAATTTTATATTCAGTGAGAGCCTGACACAGAATAGAGTAAAAAAGTAGTAGTAGTAAGCACCAAGCAGGCAGGCTAATTGTTTCTCTCTCTCTTTATATATATATACTCCCTCCGTCCCACTTTGATAGTCTTATTTTCCTTTTTCGTCCGTCCCAAATTGTAGTCCACTTCCCCATTAAGGAATGTAATAATCTTTCAAATTATCTAAAATACCCTTATTAAATATCTTGTTATTAATACATTGTTATTAAATACTAACTCACTACATTGAATACATTGAGTTTTTCCAATGCACTCTTCGTGATTAGCATAAGGGTATTTTAGGAAATTATTAATCTAAATTTATGTTTCCAACCAAATTAATTACACTTTCTTAATCTGTGTGAAAAAAAAACCAAGACTAATAAAACGGGACGGAGGGAGTATTTGTTTAATTCTTTTCTATTTTTTTAATAGCACGAGATACCTTTAAAGAATAAACATCGCCAAGTTGCTTTCGTATTAATAGTTGTTTGCAAAAATTTTTTTTATTATATCATTAATACGTTTTTCAAAATTTTAAAATCATTTTTTATTTTATATATATCACATTATAAAAAGTACTATTATTTACTTGTTACTATCATAGCAAGTATTATTGAGTATTATGTCTTCACTTAGTCTAGTTTTGTTCAATTCAAATCGGATCGTGTAATTCTTATTATATTGGGTGTAAACTCGGACATTTTTAATTTTAGCACTGTAATTACCAATTTAACTGCATGAGTTGATAAATTCAAACTTATGTTACTAGAAATTGTAAAAGTTACACGAATCAATTTGAATTGGATAAAAATCAATCGGTGAGGTCGTAATCCGCAAATCACCTTTTCCCCCTACCTATACACATGTGAGCACTGATTTTGCATAAACTACATGAAATTTAATAGACTCCTAATCATAGAAAAAATCACTTGAGCTGCTCCAATTAGATCTGTTTGCAAGAAAAAGCACTCGAAACTTGGCGGTCAAGTAAGAGGGATCGAAACGTGTTCAATGAATGGGCAGCAGCTCCAAAGTCCAGACAAACTTCCACGGGCTGTGTTTGTTTGCAGAGGCTAGCCGCGTGAGAAAAATTCTAAGCAAGCAATGAGTGCTAAGGTGAAAATTTCAACTCCCCCGCCACACCCCCCCCCCCCCCCAAAAAAAAAAATTGGAGGCAGTTAAGAAGACTCAATAGTCTATTCTATACAACAACGATCAGATTAAAAAAACAGACCGAAATCTATATATGATTTTGACCTAAGGTTATGGGTTGAACTAAGTCCAGGAGAATCCAAGATTAACGGATTAAGGGAAATGATTACACCTTTTAATCTGATATCTGAATTAAGTGCGGACTTTGACACTTGAAAACATGCGGTGCCTCCGATTATTACGGTTTTTAGTGGTCTGGTGTGCAAAGCGAATTTAGACTGTTGATGATCTTGAATCTTCATGCCTCAACATTTTGTTTATTGTCTTTGTCTATAGTCCTTGATGTACGCTTACATGCAAAAATGCAATATGAAACTTCAAAGAATCTCACTTTTAAATTATAGACATTCGATAACGTGTTTGGATTGAGTTTTATTTGTAAAATATTTTTTAATTGTACCATAAACACGTTTTTCAATAATTTTTAAATTTTTTCATTAGTCATTTTTCCTTATATATATAAGTAATACAGTTGGATAGTAAATTATTTGAGATAATTTTGTGAAAAAATACTACTGTAACATTTTTTTTATGTGATATATGTGAAATAAAAAGGTGATTGAAAAATGTGTTGATGATGCAAAAGAGTCAATGTGTGTAAATAAGGTGAAAATAATGATGTGTAATCCAAATAATTTTTTCAAAATAATTTATTTCAAATAATTTCCAATCCAAACATACGGTGTTAGTGATGGTTTTCGCCTCGAGAGTGTAACATGTTTTTACCTTTTTTGCTGTTTATTTTATATATCTTGGAAAGAGATTGTCCTAACTTTCATTTAGAAGTAATTAGACCTACCAATCATCATGAGATCTGCCAAACTCCTTATCCTAGGATGTTTCTCAACATATAAATAAACAAAATAAAGAAATCTTGTGCTTTGATACTACTAAGCATCCACAACAATGTTGTAGATCTGCATAACCAGTTACAAATATTTTGCTATCTTTTCAAGTCAAATAATCAAACGCCGTGGAATCCTTGTCGATCATGTGTCCTTGAGCTAACTAATTTAGATTTTTTTTTTTCTTTTTCGGGATTAATTGGTTACACCTCCACAGACAGAAGCAGTTGGAAGTAACAGTAAGCAGGGAGGGGAAGTTACAGTGATCAGAACTAAGCAAATCATTTAGTAACTGTTACTCTCACCCAAGCTTTGGCAGTTTGCTTAGCACCCACTTCTGTACAGGAAATTCCTTTTTCTTTTTCCATTTTGAGAATGGAAGTCATCATAATCCCTCGGAAAAAAGAAAGTTGTATCATAAGATAAAACTAAAGTTGAGCATTCTTCCCAATTTCAGTGCATTCCCTATACATGCAAGAGTAGTACTACTTAATTTGTTCTTCATCTCAATAACGAAAAGGGAAAGAAAAATCTCACCGTGTACAAGCAAAGGGTCAAGTGGTGTTCGGATTATAGACTGTGTTTGGATATCTCAATTTTGCCAAATAATAGTAATATTTGGTTTGCATTGTAAACATATCCTCCAATTCATTGATTGATTAGTGTGTTTGGATTGTTGAATCTTTTTAAATAATATTTTGCTTATATCATAAACACATTTTTCAATCTACTTTTTTTTTATATTCCCAACTACTTTTTTATCTCATATACATCATATCACAAAAAGTGTTATAGTAATTATTTCAAATAATACTCTATCCAAACACTTTTTTCAACCACATTTTTTATGTTACATATATCACATCATAAAAAGTGTTACGGTAATTATTTCAAATAATACTCTATCCAAACACTAACATTAGAGAAGTGCCAATATCATTTCCTAAAAATTTTTTTGTGAGTAAATTTCGGCTACAGTATAATTTTTTTTTTTTTACAAAAACTCCCAAAATTAACAATTCGAATGAGACCTTATTTCAAAAAAAAAAAAAAAACTGAGACATTCCTTAGGGATTTTTCGAGGAGTGTTAATATGATGATTTCCTGAAAATTTTTTTGATTTTTTGTGAATAAATTTTTACTACAATAATTTTTTACAAAAAACTTCAAAAAAAACAACAATTCATACTGCAGCAGCCCCGTGAGAGAAGAAGAAGAAGAGGAAGAAGAAAAAGACGAGTAATGAAGTTCTCAAAGTTGGGGTTCGTGTCATGACTCATGAGCATTTGGCATTTGAAACAACAGTCAAGACTCGAGAAAAGAGAAGCCATCAGCATAGAAACAAGAAACAGGCAGGAGAGAGAGCGAGAGAGAGGGAGGGTTTGGAGGGGGAAATTTTGGGATTAGACAGCAGACAGCATGATTAGTGTCGGGAGAGCGTGGGGAGCAATTATTGGGTCGTCCCCTCTTTCCCCACTCTTCAGTTTCCTTCATCATCCCCGATCAGGCGGCCATCATCATCAACATCTCCCGAATCCCATTCTTGCTCTCTGCCTATTTCCACCCACTCGTATGCGTTGTTGGACTTTGGAGGCTCTGATCATCACTTGCTGCCGGATTTTTCGGCCTCTGCAACTCCTGATTCTCTCCCCCTCTTTAATTTAAGTCGTCCTTTTAGCAACAGTGCAAACCCAAGACGGCAGTACTCCTACTAAAGCAGTGGTTGTATTGTATGCGAGTGGTTTCTTCTGTAAGTTAAGATAAGAGAAGAAGACGCCAAAGACGGCCCTACATTACGTACACGCCTTTTTGGTACTTTGCATGCAAATGCAGTACGTAATCAATAATTCCCAATTAGTCCTTAATTACCACCTTAGCAATAAACACCACTGCTTAACAATGCTAAAACCTTTTCGGCCCTTTTCCATTTTTTTAAAAAATATATTTTTATTGCTGGATGAGTTTTTCTTGTGGTTGTTTTGTCAAATATCTTTGCTTCCTTGTTATTTAATTACCCACTAAACTCACCTTATTATAAGGAATAAATATTCGGGCGCCCAGATTTTTTTGGTTTGGGAAAAATTAAATTGATAAGCTGCAATCAAGCGGTAACCTAACAGAATACCCGTGTACTTTACAGCTTGTAATTAATTGTTTAATTTGCTTAATAGTAGTCAAATTGGCAGCCAAATTTTCATTAACTTATGATGACGAAAAAGATTATAGGAAAAAGAAAGAAAAGAAGGCAATCAAACGCAGGCTGTAACACATTTGTTGTATTTTTCTTCTGTACAATGAATGTATACAAAAGGCATTCTGTTTTTTCTTGGTTGAACTCTGCATTCATCTTGATCATTATGAAGATGGTTAATTGCAATATGCTCCGTTCAATAATTACGAGTTGTACTTTGCCTCCTGAACTATTAACTTTAGCATTTTTGTTTACCTCACCTATATCAAATCGTTATAATAATTTTTCTACAAAAAAAATCAAGAAAAATGTAATCCAAACAAAGCCGCCATAAATTTTTTGGTTCTAGCATACATCTTATGCATCAATTGGCGGTACATTGTTCAGATAAACTTGATATTTTGGTTCAAAATTAACTGTCATATACTTTAGTGTTGGTTTTCAATGAATATGAGTAATGGGAAGAACAATACCAGGCGCAGGAGGAGGCAGGCGTCGGCCAGAGAAGCTGCAGAGAGATTTGACGAGGCCCGCGGGGAGGGAGGCTTTGGGTTTGGGTTGGTAGCTGCCGTTTGGGCGTGGGCTGAAGCTGATACGCGTCTGTAGCATGGACTGTGATATATGCCATCCATTCAAATTAAAATGTTAAGGCCTTGTTTTCGGTTGCAGCTTCTGTAGCATGGACCATGATGATGTATCCCATTCATTCATATGAATCATATTAAGGCCTTCCTTTCGGTTGCTTCAGATTTTGCATAATTTGATTATAAAAACTGATTATT